ACAGGCCAAAACCAGTAGTATACTGAACGGATTGATGTAAAGAGTTGTTTGCAAACATATGCAAAAATACAGATTAGGAAGTCAAACTGTAAACCACCAAACTGTCGGATGGAGGGGAACAAGAACAACCACTTGGGAAGGCAATTCAAGATCTTCCGTGGTTGCTGTGATAGACTGCTGCTGAGGGACATGAGCTCCCCAGCTGTCTGTCCAGCTTTCAGCAAACGGTGCAGTAAGACCAAGAGCCAAGCGTCCCGGAGTGCCGGTAAAAAGCTTGCCAAGCCGTCTGGCCTCAGCTTCATTGCCAATATATATATATATATTATATATATATATTAATATTAGGCTGGTTCCTGTCTGGGCCGACCTTGAATGGTTGTGTTCTGCTACGAGACTAACACGCCATGAAAGAACTTGAACGACAAGGATTAGTCGTGTTGACGTGAGAGATCTTCTTTCGACGCAAGTGGGGTGTGTGCTAAAGTATACTGCATGAGTAAAGGTCCACTTGGCCTTTCGACCTTGGACACACATGTTGAGAAAGGAATGTGATGTCTCACGGTGTCCATTTATCTTGGATGCCAATAGTCCTTTAGATTTGACGAGGGTCTGGCTGCGCCACTCTTGTCCCTGTTTTCACTGGTGGAATTAAATTGTTACCAACAAAGCCAGCAGAAACAATCTGACTATGTCGATCTAGAACTTAACCTGGGAACGACACTGGTATCACAACCACAGAAGCAAACATAACGGGTAACGAGTTAAAAGATGTTAAAAGAATACTAGAGTCTCAACTAAAAGTCGTGGGCCCGATCAGCCTCAATAGTTGGATGCTGAGGAACTGTTCCCCTGTCGAAACACCTCAGTGCATGTTGTGGGCACCTTGACAGGATTGGGACTGCCGAGTCATCCAAATTCTTTTTGTATAGTCATGCAGTCATGCATCATAAGCAATCAGAGTCAGTCAATATTTGACTTGATTTGTAAGGGTTCTGCAAACATTGTATAACTCTGAATAGACTTCGAGTTACAATGCGGTCACCAAAGAATGCTGAGCATCAAGCATATCACAGTACAAACAGTGATCTTTCCTTGCGCTGCACAATTTTGACAATGAGGTCAACTGGCTGCCATCAACAATTCAACATGGATGCAGTGTCCCTAAGTCAATGTTTTAGGTTGTTTCAGTATAAACTGGATTGAAAGACTCCCTTTGTGGTGCAGGGGTTCTCGCTAAGCACAACTCTCCCGTCTGAAACTGGTTCATTCAAGTTCGCACCCTGAGAGTCAAAGCGGCCAGAATTGGCAGGTGGAAGGTACATGCAAGGACGCAAATGACCATTGGTCTTCACCAAGTCTTGACAGTCTTCAGCATGCCCACAAAACCAGGTGGCTTGCCCAATGTCGATAGGCCAGCAATAGAGCTGCAGACAGCGGCCCACCAAAGCCATTCAAAGAGGATCTGCACGGCAACGTATTTATAAACGCTGCAGTGATTGAAGTCGTTCATTAAGGGTGTGGTTTTAATTGATGCCTGTTTGTTGCTCGAGAACTTTCCTTGGGGCTCACTACTTGCTGCTATTTGCAGCAGTTTGGGTGTCCTTGAAGAGGCATTGTGGGCACAATGCGGCATGGCTGACCTGTAAAAAGAACCATGTCGGCACCAGGGTGCCACGTGAAAGACACCACAGCTGTCGTAGCAGGCAAAGTACAATGGAGGAAGTATATAGTGCATACTTTGCTTACTTTGATCCCCACCCTGAGAGGCGATTTGGAAGAAGACAGAGCACATGCACTGACAGACTATCCTGACAAACGCTGCTTGCTACAACAGCAACAGAAGCAAAATCAACAAAGGGACAGGGACACAGCAACAATTGCAGCGCAAAAATTCACGGTGTTCAAAGTACATAGCGCGACTCAAATGTACGGAGAGCAGGAACAAGCAACAAGAGCAACAAAGAAACAAAAACAGAAAAGCAAAAGCAAGCACCAAAGCAAACCAGCAACAAAAAGCAACTGAAGCAAAAGGGAACACCAAAAGCTAAAAAGCAGCATTGTATGCAAAAGCAACAACAAGCAATTCTGAAAAATAATTCATCTTAAAACATTAACAATCATGAACATGCCGTTTAAAACATGCCCCTCCACTAGTTCATCGAAGGTCACCACCACAAGCAGCTCCACAGCGGGGTGGTATGAAAATCTACAGCTCTACAGTGGCTCTACAGTAATCATCCAATATCATGACGACTGGCATGGCATTCAATGTGATTCATGACCTGCAATGGTTATTGACACATGTTGACACGTCACCTCATGGTCAGATTGTCGATATTGTGCGCACCTCAAGGCGGCAAGGATGGCGAAGGTCGTCCCATCAGCCGCTGCAGGAATCGGAAGATGCTTCCTTGGTCGACACCCTATGAACAGCATTGATTTATACTCTGAATGATTTATGGTGTCCTCCGTGATAATGCACTGGCCATGTTTCCAATTTTGTACCAGCAATTTGGCACAGCGTGTGCCTAACAGCCAGACGAAGAGAAGCTGCAGAAATCCCAAAGACCATGAGCCCTGCAGGGAGAGGCCAAATCGCTCTGGGACCCCTTGTCAATTGAGGGAAGGGGTAAAAGAATGGTTTAAAAGTGAGAAAAAAGGTCGTATGAGGCAGCGTAAAAATCCGTTCGATCTATCATGTTTTGACAATCATCAGTCATCATTTCTCGAGGAGATCCTACGAAAGGCAACGTCAATGAAACGTCCCGTCCCTGATAAAAGTAGCGCGTACATTATATATATAAGTAATGTGCTTGAGTTAAGACTGGCCAAGGTGCGACAGAAGCATGTATGTAAAATAGTTTTTTGGGGGGTTTGGTTATGGTTTTGATATGATTTGCTGTTATGGTTTTGTTATGGCTTCTCAAGTTATATAGTGGTTTTCTGCTCATGATTTTGTTATGGTTTTGATATGATTTGTTGATATGGGTTTGATACTGGTTTGAATATGATGTTCTTATGGATTTCTTATGGTCCAGCCACCCGAGCCCTCCTCCCCCCACAAGGGAACCTTTCTTCCAAGCCCCTGGCCCACTCAAAAGCCTTTTGATAGCCTTTCCAGGGCCTCTCACCACTTTGGAACCTGCCTCCAGCCCGCGGAAAAGGCAAGCCATACCAAAACCATATCAAAATCATAACAAAACCATAAGCGTTACACTTTTCTTATGGATTTCTTATGGTCCAGCCACCCGAGCGCTCCTCCCCCCCACAAGGGAACCTTTCTCAATCATAACAAAATCATAACCAAAACCACAACCACATTTTCACACCATATCAAAATCATAACCTCCAACCATATCAAAACCATAACAAAACTGTAGAAAAACTCAACCCCAAAAACTGGTCTCAGGCTGGTTTAGCCAGTCTTAATGCTTGAGTAAGCAATGACAGTAGGACGTGGCTGGACAAAGGGTCGAAGGGTTATTGTAACCAAATCGATAGGGTCTTTGTTCTTACCAACCATCGTGTCCAAAGCCCCTGCTTTCACATCGGGCATGCAGTCGAGAAGACCAGATATTCATACATATTGCTATGCAGTTGGTTTGGGCAGCTGGGTCACTGAATGCTACCAGTATCTACTGGTCAAACAAAATCCTGTGCTCACTACTCTTGATAAATAAAACCTGCCACCACGTCTAAGTACAGCTGGTCCGCCAACCTTCAACCATGAACGTTGTCCGCCCACCAGGGAAGAAACTGCGGCCACCAGCACGGAAGCAAAGTAGAGGGCCTTGGGCAGAAACATACTTCAACTTCAACATGTGCATCTCAAAATGTTTGGTGAAACGCTTGGATTTATTTGGGAACGAACCGCAGTAGAAGCAAGTCCCTCAATCCTGTGTCTACAGGTGATTCGGTTGTCGCTCCCCGTGGATATTTTTTAAGCCTCTCGAATCAAAAATCATGTGAAACAACAGAACTTTGAGCATGTTTGAATTGAGTCGGATAATGTGATGGGAAGAAACTAAAGTCGGAGGTGTCCTAATCAACTCCCATCAGCTTCTTGTTTATGGATCCTATAGTGTTAGTTTTGTGTTTGAACACATACTCCATTATGTTCAAAACGCATGCACGCAGGCTGCACCTTTTCTCGCATCCTGAAGTCGTGTGATGTTGTGTCTACTGCCGCAACTGCAGGGGAGGCCCTCAAGAGAACATTGAAAATGCAATTGACAACCTTTTTGGTTTTCTATGTCATCGAACCCCCCTCAGAGTGAAGCAGCATCGTCAAAATGCCAGGCTAGTCAATTGAAGTTGACTTTGAGGTCTCTCATGAGCGTCATGCACTGTCTGGTGCCTGGGACAGGTGAATTGAACACATCATCAATCGAATCGTAAAGCTCTTCTGCATTGCTTGAAAATTCTATGAGTGAATGCGTCACTGGCAAATTTAATTGAACTGGCAACACTGACAACACCTTTTTTTCAGCAGCTTCCTAAAGCCGTGACCAAATGACACTGAGCCGTCTTGACATCAGCTTTCTGAACCCCTGCTAACTTCAGGATCGAGGTTTCCTCTTCTTTAGTCAAGGAGGAACCATCAAACTCCCAATCAGTTGCTAGAAGTATTGACGCAACTGACCAAACTACCTGTACTTGTGGATTTTCAAAATCTTTATTCGCTTGCAATGTAAGCACATACAAACGACAGGACTGGGATAGCACACTCAAAGCATCGCACGGATGAAGCATCTTGCAGTGAAGAAAAAAATGCCATACCACAATGAACTTCTCAAGAACCTTATCCCAACAGTTGACGCCAACTTTCAAGCCAGGCCCTAAGCAGGCGAAGGGCGGACCAGCAGGCACTTTCCTTTGACCTTTGGAAGCAGCCTCCTGGAAATCCAGTGCCAATGGACCCTCCACAGGATTGGAAGAAGCAGCAGTCCTGAGGTGAAGAAAACACAAATCGGTGCCAGCTAGTCTGATAACAAATGCAAAAAACACTTCATTGCCATATGCTGGCACGACAAGTACTAAAGTGACCTGCCAGTGAGTTACCAAAAGAAAGACTTTCAAAAGCAATTGCCTGGCGTTACAACCTTTGCTCTATCTGACATACTTGGGCTGCAGAGTATAAACGACATGTTAAACCAGTGGCCACCCCACAGCAT